CCGTATACGGTTGGAGTCCGGGTTTCGATTCCTGGAAGGGACAAGAGATATATTTTCTTCTCCAGAACGTCCAGACCAGTTCACGGGACCACCCAGACTCATGTACATTGTATACCGAGGGTATATTTCCCTAGGGTTAAGGTGGCCGGAGTGTAAAGCTGACCGTTAACCTCCATCTAGTGCCGAGATCAATAAAGGTTAAGCCAAACCTCCACAGCCCATTAAACTTCGTGTCATGGTGTTTAATTAGTTAAGAATAGGGACAAATTTTCCTTTTACATTTAACAGTAATTATTCAAGAGCGACTTTCAACAAACCACGAGATGATGCATGCATGCAAATATCTGTAATAAATTAGCAAACAATAATTCATTCGTAATTTTCTACAACATGGGAGGGATGTTTTCATCACATAATTATTATACGTAAACAAGTAAAGCTACTCCTGTAACAGGCCGTGGAGACCAATAGGGATGTGAGATGTCGAAGCTCACACATTTTCTAGAAAAATCGACTCACACATGGCGGTAAGTTTGTCAGCCTTAAGCACCGGCCGCCCTTTACCCTCAGGAAGATTCCTGATACTCATTTCTGTTAGAGGCTGAGTAGATCCCAGGGCCATAGTGCGGATAGAAGGATTAGGACAATTAAAAATCCAATGACATCTGTAACCGAACCCGCAACCTTCCGGCTTGCAGCATAGTGCTTCAACCAACTACGTCACCGTGTGCCCCTTATTATTGTGTGCATGAAATTAAATACACAAACGTCTATGAAATATTATATTAGTCAGATTCAGTTGATGATATAGGATTACAAAATAAATTTAACGAAGAATACGAGTATAATCATATGAGGAGGAGGAATACAATATTATATTTCAGCGGAACGGTGGGGCTTCGGGGTTTGGGCTACTGCACACATCACGATAATATAGGAGCATCTGCCGTTTGCCAGTCCTATATTTCAATTTCAGACACACGCGGACACCCGAGTCCTGATCGTGTGTAGGGGTATTCATTTGTATCATTATGCTAATTGTCAGTCAATCAGAAACCACCGCTCCATTAGTTCATTGGTTAATTATCAATTTCGCTTCATCTCAGTCGATTCAGCCAATTCAACAGGAAATTAAAAAAGTGTAGTTAATACAGATCGAATTCAGTCATTTGCATGATTCATTATTAATGACAGAATATGACTGGTCCTTCAGTTAATTACATCTTCTTCCACCATTCTTTAAAAGCCGGCATCGACTTAGCAATGGCTGTTGTACAGTTGCTTGTTTCGCGGTTGTTGCCTAGAAACAGGTCTTACTTACTTACTTACTCATGGAGCTGAGCCCATCTGGAGGAGCCCCCAATTCTACAGCTACTCAAGAATTACTTAGCGTTTCATGGAACCCGTAGGTTCATGACCGTGTTCACAAGAGCCCTCCACTGGTCCCTATCCAGAGCCAGATCAATCCAATCCATACCGTCCCATCCTATCTCTCTAAGATCCATTTAATATTGTCCACCCACTTACGCCTTGGTCTTCCCAGTTGCCTCTTTCCTTCTGGCTTTTCCACCAATATCCTATACGCATTCCTCGTCTCCCCCATTCGTGCTACATGACCTGCCCACCTCATCCCCCTTGACTCGATCAATCTAATTATACTTGGAGAAGAGTACACGTTACGAAGCTCCTCACTGTGCACAAACCATAATATGAATATCTGCATATTGAAAGTGTATGTGGGCAAATACATAGTTTACGTAATATATAGACACGTTATATCACAAGCCGCAAGGTTGCGGGTTCGTTTATGGATGGAATCATTGGGCTCTTCAATTGACCTAATACTTCCAGCCGCACTATGACCCTGGGGTCGACTCTGCCGCTAACAAAATTCACTATCATGAATCTCTAGGGGGTAAAGGATGGCCGAAGCGAAAGGCTGGTAACTTCACCGCCACATGTGAGACGATTGTCCAGAAAATGTGGGAGTCTCGACGTCTCATAAACCTATGAGCCTCCACGGTCTGCTATAAGCATACCTTTTTATAGACACAAGTACAGTTATTAATATAGTAAAGCTGCAATGCAGTGGACAGGACTGAAAACGTAGTTCAGAGCCATCTGTACTTGACACGCTCAACTTCACAATTACGTAAATTTATTTTTATTTTATTTTATTTTATTTTATTTTATTTTATTTTATTTTATTTTATTTCTGTGATGTGACGCTATGCAGTTACTACCAAACTACTTGGCGTCACATCCAAGACAATTGAAATTTAAATCTAATTCCAATTGTTGTAAAAATATATGTAATATTTAATATGTGAGAATAAGGTAAATTTGTTCCTGTGCTTAAATAATAAAGCACTACTCCATGAAGGCGTATGGGGGAGTGGATGTATAGATCCAAATTTTCTTAACCTCGGCACTAGCTGAAGGCGAGTGGTCAGCTTCAAGCTCCGGTCGCTTTACCTCCAGAGAAAAGCCTCTTATACTACTTCGATAGGAGGCTGGGTGGACCCAAGAGCCGGTCTGGACAACGTGGAGAAGAGAAAATTCTTGACTCTACCGGGACTCAAACTCTGATCCCTCGACCGTCCAGCCCGTAGCCAGTCGCTATACCGATTAAGCTATCAATATGTGGGAATATAAAATCGATTTTATAAAATTAATATAACACCCCAGGGATCATTAAATTTGTGTCCAACTGGTCGTCCTATTTGCAACGCGATTTCTGTTAAACAGCTATATTACTCAGAGAATACGTGCATAAAGGTTCAAACATTTCAAAGACAACAGCTTTGAGACATTTCTATGGGAGATCAAATAAAGATTTCTCTTAATTTTTTTACAGTATGTAATTTATCGACACATAAGGTATCATGATTACACAGCGTCTGATGGTAGAATGATGAATAATAAATGTAAAGGATTTGGAAGGAAGCGGTCGTGGTCTGACATAAGTACCGTATTTACGCATGTATAGGCCGCCTGCGTGTATAGGCCGCAGCACAATTTTCAGACAGAAATTATAGAAAAACTAATTTTCTTGGAATATTATTTCAGGAGTAGAACACCCTGTATTAGTAATTATGAATATAATTTTTTTAAATGAAGTGTGATTTCGAATATTTCGAATATAAGCCGCACCCCAGTTTTCCTCTTGAATTTTTGGCAAAAAAATGTGCGGCCTATACATCCGTAAATACGGTATCATCCGAGCATTTGCCTGGAGGGATTGAGGAAAACTACGAAATGCCTTAGGCATCGTAGCCTATGTCCAGGCAGAGCTTTGAAACGAGTACGTCTCAAACATGTCTGCAGCTTTATTTCTATGACAAGACATCGGGACAAATGTGTACGGTTTAAGTTAGGGAAGAAAATTCCAACAGAAAACTCGAATGCTTATCGTGGTAAACTCAGATTGAAAATGGAAGCAAACTTCCGATACCTTTTTACATAATATCTCACATTAGAATGTCGACATATTTGACCTAATATTTTTTTCAAATAGCCCAGTTCGATTCTCGGCAGGTGTAAGAGATTCCTCTCTATTCCACAGCGTCCGGACCGGCTCTGGAACCGAGTAAGCCTTCCTTCCATAGGTTACCGGTGGTCCTATCCGCGCGGGTGCAGCACAGCTGAAGCATGAAGCTAACCACTCACCTCAATCTAGTGCAGATGTCAAGAATGGTTGAGCTATACCTTCACCCCCCCATACGTCTTCAAGGAGTGGTGCTTAACTAACTAAGAGCAGGGATAACTATACCATTGCCATTTTAGTCCAGTTCTAGTTGAAAGATGACTTGGAGATTTCTTGCTTTGATCTTGTCAGTGGTTATAAGTTCGTTTCCAAATTTTTGATGACAACTATTATTTCGCGTTCTGTAACAGGAAAAAAATTTAATTTATATGAAATTCAACGATCTGCCTGTAGGCATCAGTGGTACTTTTTAAAACTCTGATGGTCTAACACGGATTGGTTTGTAAATATATTCCACACTAAAATAAATTTGGACTATTCACATAAAAATCGTTGCGATTAACGAAAAGAAATGGTATTTCGAAATTAATTTTATTGTCAGGAAGTATGTACCCCATTCTCCCTAGTTCACAGGCCATGCTCTGCATGAGTTCTGTCGTCTCATGCTTGTTTGTCACACGCTCCAGTTTGGTAACGTCTCATTGCTCATCTCTGTTTCCTATGTCACCGGGAAATGGAACAAATACACTACTTTTTCAAGAAATGAATTTAATTGATATATTTTAAGGTTTATTTTATATATTAATTTAGAGCATTCTGAAATATTAAAGGAAACTTGTGGTTTAATGTTAATTCATACTTGGGTCACAATTACTTCTAGTAAAAATTGCGTTAATGAAGCTTTGGATAAATTAAGAATAGCTATATAATCATAGACCGATCACAGTGGCCGCTCGGTCTAGAGTATGAACTGCCTTCGTCCTGTCAAACACTGGGATCGTAGGTTAGAATCCCACTTGATGTTCGGATTTCTGTTGGCGTTTATTGTGTTTGTGCTGTCCTGTGTGCAGGTTGCAGCCATACGACGGGCTGATCCCCCGTCCAAGGAGTCCTATCGACCGTGTAAAAAGATTACGAAACTAAAAATTACAAAGGCCCACCAAAGAGCTTGTAGAGCCATAGATAGAATATTGAATGTAAATATAGAATTCTTCTTCACTCTGGTACACTCCGATTAGTGTATTCTGATGTGTCGCGAAATAGGAAGGGGGGGGGAAGTATATTCAGTTAAAAGGTTGGGCATTAAATATCCTTTGGCATAATGGCATTGTTCAATTCATTATATGAATAAACAGAAGAAGGGACTGATGTTATCAAATGACTTCCATTTGGGAAAAAGCTTGCATCGTACCCGAGCTGTGACAACATAAAAGAATGTCCTTCCTATGACAGGATGATATCCCTGTGTGATTCTCATTGTGATATTTTCAATAAAATTCCCAAAGCCATCATGAAGACTAAATACTGTCAGGTGAGGCCAGCAGGTACTTTACAAAATGTCGGATGTAACCACATTTAATATGTCATCATGTTTCCTTTCACTCTTGGGACTTAATACGTTTTGCGGTCTTCCAGCTTGGTGATTGGGCGGGGGTTGAAAAATCCTCGCAGTAACAAAACACTAAGCTAAAAAATATATTTTTTACATAGTGTAAATAAAATCAATATCCAAATATGCACACACATTCAGTAACTGCATTCTTCGTATATTTCGAAACATTCAAAACAAAATTCCTTTCTAATGCAGAGCTTCTAGTATTCGGGAAATAACCCACAGCTTCCCTCTGTTCATTACAGCGAATGTTTAATTCAAAAACATTTTTTTTTGGATAAGCTCATATTTGTATCATAACAGATTCCAAATTATTCAGCTAAGATTAAATAAAAATATATAATCATTGACCTTTTGGACAATATCCTTCGTCCTATTTTTATTTAAAACAATTTTTCAAGGGCTGGACTCTGCCTCCATCCTCAGGTAAAAAAGCCTACTTATTTGGACTCGATCGATTGAGTTAGCTCTATCGGTTAGGCCCAAATAAGTACGCTCTTTACTTTAAGACATAGACAGAATCAAGTCTACGAAACGTCGTTTTGAGTGAAGAAACTGGACAATAGATTATGTCCAAGAAGTCAGTTAGTTGTATTACTATGCCATCCTGACAAAACTTGAAACCTCAATTTGGATGAAAAATCTTATCACAGCTTAAAACACATTTACACAACGAAAGAAACAAACGATCTGATCTGGGTCTCACATGTTGGTATTGTGAACGTAAGATCAGGCTTCCTGTGGCTATTTTTCTTATAAATGTGATGTAGCTTGCAAGAAACGAAGAAGCATACGTTTCAGAACTAGAACACAAAACTTCTTCCAGAGTCTCAGAACACTTAAATGAACACAGCCATGACGGATGTTTCTGACAAAACTTGCTGCATTATGCAGTGAGTAATTTAATTAGTAAGCATCGATAAGATATTTTTGTGGAATAATTTAAACTCTGCTAATATTGTTTGAGCTTCATGTATAAAATCACCTCCATTTTCATATGGACCCGTGTGGCTCGTTCACTATATTTGAATGTTTGGGATAAGTTATCACTTCATCTTATACTTTGTTGACTGGAAGAAATTAAAATCTTTTCGACCAAAACACTAAGATTACACAATATAAACCCTGTAGGATAATATTATCTTTCAAATCTCGATTTGTACAGTTTCGAACAGTCGTAATTCGCTGATTACGTTTCCGTTTGGCCTGGCCGGTGTAGGCGGTAGTGGCTGAGTATGACCATACACTCTCTGTAACCTCTGCAGGCTGTTGGAGGAGACAGTGCGCTCCAGTATCTCCCCCCAGTACTTCTCGCTGAGACCCTCCAGGTCGCCTCTGGCACCGGAAGGCATCGGAGGGGCTGTAGCCTGGGTGGCGACGACGATACTGCTGTTTGTACTGCAGCAGCGGGCCTTGGAATTCAGCGGCGCCTGACGCCGACACAGCACCTAGAACCGCAATACATCTACAGTAATACAAACAGCTGAAAGCGTGTTCTGTACCCTGTGACATTATATCGGCCATTTCATGAAGGATTCGCCGACCTCTGTTTATTGACACTTGGTTTTCGGGCCAGTACATGTGGATGCTATCAGCAATACTACTACTATATTATATATTCTTCGTTTTTCCCCTATATTTTTTTGTTTGTTTCTCCCATTCCTTCCATTTCTCTCTCACACTTTGTGTTCGCTTTATTTTCTTCTTCATTCACTTTTTTTTTTGTGTTCTCGTGCCTTATTCTTTCTTTTTCGGTTTCCTTTTCTGTGTGCTTCTTCCTTATCTTATGTTATGGTCTTTTCATCTCTCTAACATCCCCTTGCTTTGCAGTACAGGAGAACGCCTTTGGGTAACGTCTTTTAGTGGTTGGTGGTGGTGGTGATGATGATGATGATGATGATGATAATAATGTATCGGAGAAGGGGAAGGAGACCTACTACCCCGCCTGAGCAAAGTTTTTTTATCTTAAGTCAGGAACGGGAGAAACGCATATGGACAAAGGAGCCACGAAAGCAAGGTGAAACAAGCGGCGGTCTGGGGCGGCATCTTTTACGAACACTCCTTTGTTTCTTTCTTTTGCTAAATAAAAATTAATGCATACTGATTATTTCTTCATTAATTGGCAGTAATCTAAAAATTTTGCGCAAAAAAACGTAAATAAAACTCTTTTTAAGAATTCAGACACTAATGACAACTTTAGTCAAAATGCCTGGCCCTTTCGCGTTACCGTGACAATTTTTTAAAATTTTTTATCCTCTTTTAACGGTTCTGTGAGGAGGAGGGACGAAATCTTTCTTATGGAACAATAGTTTGGCTTGCGTCGAACCTCCACGTGGATCCGGTCGGTTTCGAATTCGAGCCTTTCGGCAACGGAGCCCAATTGTGGGCCGTCATTCTTCACGTGCAGAATAGATCATTATTAAGAGTCCAATCTTCTGGCACATAACTCAGTCTAGACCATTAAAAGTCAACCGACGTTTCGGAAGAATATGTCGTCTTCACCTTCATTGTCGAATAATAAGTCTAGCAAGAATCAAGCATGAAGTAGGTAGCAAGCAGATTTTTTAATTCGATACGTTCCTCCGAAACGTCTATTGCCTTTCAATTGATTATATGTCGTTATATATACCAGAAGAGAGTGTTCTTCATAATCAAATCCTTCAAGTAATTATTAGTTTCGTACTTATTCTGCAAGCTTTCATAATATGCATTCAGCAGTCATATTTCCACTACATGTTTCGATCCCTAACTATTCATCTGTAGGTGGGTGGGCATTCGTCCCACTGGGAACCGACTCCCTGCCGTCCAGACCACATGTACCCAGTTTACTGGTTCACCTATCCCAGCCAATGATTATATTCTCTTTGTGTGGACAGAGCATATCTGACACTACCAGTTACAAGGGCTTTGAATTAAACCGTACATCACCGAAAAAAGTACATCTTTCTTTTAAACGGGTAATGAATATCCATGAACTCAGGACATAACATCAAAAAGCCATATAACGTATTATTGAACGAGATTAAAGGCGGTGCGAGTGCTTTAGTCACGCCGGATCGCATCCTTTACTGTTCCATTTGGCGGCTCCACAGAACATGGGGATGGGCGTTTATGAATTACAGAGCACTATTGATCATCGTCTTCGTCTGTACGTCGGAATTCCAGTGGAAATTTCGTGGCTAATGAAAAGGTCACCAGAATTCGCATTACTCACTTCTCCTGTTTACTCATATCCCAGCATTAAGGGGCATGCCCCGCGGATGGTTGCTCAGTCGGTCCTCTGGCCACCTGCAAGCAGCGCAACTTTTCCCTTCCTTACTGAAAAGGGCTGTAAACTCTCTACAAGACGTCGAGTCCTTCACAAACTAATAGTTGCTCATCTCTCTCTCTCTCTATGGCTCTATAGCCCTTTGGACCTTGGCCGTTTTTTCAGTTTATTAATCCTATACACATTCGGTAGGACTCCTTGGACGGGGGATCAGCCCGTTGTAAGGCCGCTGCCTACACACAGAACAGCACAAACAGAATAAACGCACACAAACATCCAAGCCTCGAGTAGGATTCAAACCCACGATCCCAGTGTTCGAGCGTGCGCAGACGGTTCATGTATTAGAGCGCGCAGCCACTGTGAACGGCAGTTGCTCACCTAGTCAAGATAAATTATCGTTGTTGGATTTTAGGTTCTCACAGCAGTGACTATGAAGAGCTCTCTCTGTCTTCTGATATACAGAGCCATATAATCCGGTAAGGTCAACCGATGTTTCTGAAGAACATATTACCTCCATCTTCAGGACGAAAGAGTAGGCAAGCAAAAAATCAAGATAAAGCAGGCAGCATGGAGAGTTTCGTTGCTTATTACTTACGTTACGCTAGTTCCTTCCTCGGCTTACTCTTCTTCCTTGAAGACAGAGGCGATATATTCCTCCAGAAGGTCTGTTGTCTTCTCTACCAGACCACAAGGCGGTATACCTCAGAAGACACAACCCTTCACGAATTACCGTGTTCACAAAAGCCCGCCACTGGTCCCTTTTCCTGGATTAGATGAATCCAGTGTACATAATCCGGTCCCCCTTCTTTAAGATACATCTTAATATTAAATTTCCATCTATGTACAGCTCTTGCAAATTTGCTCTTTCTCCAGGTTTTCCTATCATAACCTCGTATGCATGCATCTTCTGTCCCACGCAAGTTACAAAATCAGTCTATATCATAATAATTTATTTGACCAACTTCACAAATCATTACTTTGTGCGGAGCCGGGACAGAGCACTCGGTATAGCGATTGGCTACGGGCTGGACGGCCGAGGGGCCGGAGTTTGAGTCCCGGTATGGGCAAGATGTTTTTCTCTCCAAACCGGCCACACTGGCTCTGCGGCCGATCCAGCATCCTATCCAGTTGGTACCGGGGGCTCTTATCCTCGGAGTTAAGCGGCCGGGGCTTGAAGCTGACCACTCAACTTTATCTAGTACCGAGATCAAGAATGGTGGAGCTACAGTTCAACTCCCCTACTTCTTCATGGCTTGGGGCTTAATTAATTAAGTACAGGGAGAACTTTAACTTTTGTGTTCACTGTTCTCATATCATTTGACGTGCCAAAAGAATTACGAAGTTCCTAATTATACAATTTCTCGAGACTTCTGTTACTTCCCCCTCTTAGATACAAAATTTTTTTATGCACCCTACTCTCAAACGTCCTCGGTCTATGTCCGTTCCCTTAATGTGAGAGATAAAGTTAGGGAAAAAGACGTGCATGAGATCTCCCGTAACATAAATCGTGTGACCTACATTTCGGAGGTAGATGGTTAGAATCTCGTTCGGAGATCGACTAACCTTACCGACTCTTAGTGGATTCCACTAGATCTTGTAGGACATGCCGAAAAAGTAACAGAACAGAGACCACGAGGAATCCTTCGACAGTCACAATCACCCATTGTTCTTCATACGATAAATTACAGATTTCATTAAATGTCGTAAGATATATGTATCTATCTCTATGGTCCTTTTGTTGGGCCCTGGCCGCTTTCTATGTTCGTTAAATCTATACACAGTCGGTAGGACTCCTCGTACGGGAGATCAGCTCGTCGCAAGGCCGCTACCTACACACAGAACTACACAAACACAGAATAAATGCACGCAGCCATTCATGCATTGAGTGGCATTCGAACCCACGATCCCAGTGTTCGAGCGAGCGAAGACAGTTTATGCCTTAGACCGCGCGGCCACTGTGATAGGCTTAAAGTATTTCCGATAGCTACCAGTAAATAAAGAACATACAATAATATCCCTGCTTACTGTACAGGTTGCTGTAGGACGGACAAATTTATTGTGGTAAATCTGGGTCTTGGAATTTCGATGTGGACAATTAATTTTCGGAGCATCTAAGGGCTTTGTTTGGGCTCTGGAAATATTATTAACATCTTCTGTTAAATATTAGAATAACTGAGAATGACGTAGTCTTGAGTACAGCTTAATTTTGTGTGAATAACTGAACGGAGCAAGCAGCAGGTGAATGAGGAGGGCAGAAATGAACTCATGGCAGCCATTTTTTATTCTTTCAGCTTCAGAAATCCAAGTAACTTTGAAGGGACTTCTGAAATGCGTAGTTGTTTGCAAATACGACTCTTCTTGTGCGTTCAAAGACAGCAAACAGTGAGGAACATATTTTACTGGAATTACTGGAGAAGACTGTGCTAGATCTCTGAACAAAGAGAAAACGGATCCTGTTTCAGTTTAATTTTAGCATTTAAATTGTGTTCCAGAGCGAAGTATCAAATGTTTGGCTACCATTTGTTAATGGAGCGAATCTCTAAATAGCAATGGATAGTTAAAGTGATCGTTGGAAAAAGGAAACATGTCACTCTTGAGTCAAAAGAAACTGCATGTTTCAAATCGACTTCGTTTAAAGAATTCGGAGCGTCACAAAATCATAATCTGATAAGAACACAGAATTATTGTGTTTTCGTCCATCATCCGGTATTCTAGAAACTAGAAAACACAACGTTTAGGAAACTGGATCTGTTTCCTTCCTCAGGTGAGGTGAGAGGGAGATACCTGTTCTGTTGGACCTTTGATTGCAGTTAGCTCTTTCTAAGGGACCTAACAGAGTAGGTATTTCTCTCTCTTCTCATCTGAGGACGGAAACAGATCCAGTTTTCGAAACGTTACATTTTCTACTTTCTAGAATACGGGACGATGGACAAAGTCCGAAAACTCAATAATTCTGAGTATTATACCCCACCGTCAGAACCCTTTAGGATCTATCTGAATAAAAAGTTCCGTGAAGAATTTTTGGTGCGACATCGAGTGGCTATAGGCTGGTCGACCAAGGTTTGATATTAAGCAGATGCTATGAGTTTTATCTTCGTCACTAAGTTGAAACTAATTCCGTCCAATAGTTATCCTATGGTTCCGCGCGTTTTCTTCTACGGAAATGTGTTTTTAGTGATCCGTTGTCTAGCAATGGACATGGTGCGGACCACATAGAAAACATATCTTGCAGTACCTACTCTATTATTGCGTGCCCATATTTCAGGCGTTGCCTAGAAACGGGTGCACTTATCAGAGTATGTATGTCTTAGATTGAGATACACGCGGTGACTATGAGGAATACCATCCTATGACACCATGTAATCTACTAGAAGTTTACAGACGTTTCGGAGGAATGCAGTACCTCCATTATCGTTTGGTTCAGAGTAAGCTAAGAAAGCAGATTGCTACGAAATTTCGTGGTCAACTTTTTACCAGACTATACGCCGTTATATCCCAGAAGATAGCAATATTCTTAGCGTCTGTTTTGCCAAGTTGTGCTGCACTGTAATTACTAATGGACTTCAATGCATTCATAGAGCAGTTATTGCACATTTAATGGAATGGAAAGAAAAACCTCTGTAAATTAAACCACAAATCATTCTGAAGCTCCCAGAATGAATGCCGTTAAGCGTAACATTAATTACACAACTTCAGCAAATCGATAAACTGCGACAAGACTGAATATGCATGTAGGTTTCAACATGGGACCCTCTCAGACCTGAGGTCTGCACGATGTTACAAACCAGAAGACCATCATATGAATCTCCACCACCATGAAACTAGTTGTCGGGTATCGGCAAAGACCGACCATATTTCATACATAAAAATATTAATGTCTGATTCGGACAGACCATCCGGAATTGTTCAGAGTTACTGTGTTTCTAGACTTTGTCGTCGTCCTGTCCAAAACCGCAATAACTCTAAGAACCCTTTAGAATCTGCTCATCAAAAAATATGACTGACATTCTCGAGGTGCTAAGCCATGTGTTCAATAGAATTTATCCCACTTCCTCATTATTCTCAATGATAAACACTGTATATTTCTTCAGACCTACTATACATATTCTGAGACAGTATGAGTATATTAAATAAATGACGACCTCCTCGCTCCCCTTTATTTTCAATACATCATACAAAATTAACCTCTTAATTCCCCTGCCAATCTTTATTCCACCAACTGTTCCACAACCACCCTCACCTATCATCTGGGGCTGGTACAGTAGGCCAGAAGTGGCCGCAGTACAAGGGACTTAGTCCCACCCCACAAGCAATAAAAAATAAAAAAAACTGTTCATTGATACTGTGTGAACTATGCTGTTGATAATAGGTGTCCAAATAAGCAACGAATACTGACTGATACTCTGAATAGTGACGTCTTACCTTGGACAAGAACAGTTCCTTGCAGACCTGGCGGAAGTGGTTGTTGAGCAGCCAGTAGAGGAAGGGGTTCCAGAAGCTGTTACTGAGGGCCAACCACGTAACCAGAAAGTCAATGAACTGAGGAACCTGAAAGACAGAAAAACATGGCAAAAAATTAAAGTTATCCCTGTGCTTAACTAATTAAACATTACGCTATGAAGGCGTATGAGGGAGTGGATGTACGTACAGATCCATATTTTCTTGACTTCGGACTAGTTGGAGGTGGTCAGCTTCAATCTCCGGTCGCTTTATCCCGTGTGAAAGAGCCCCCAGGTATCCATTGGACAGGAAGTCGGGAGGGCCCCAGAACTGGTCTGGAATACCGGGGCTCAAGCTCCGACCCCTCTGTCGTTCAGCCCGTAGCCAGTCGCTATACCGACTGATCTATCTCAGTTCTCGACATATGGAGGAGCGAATGAATAGATCAACGTATTCTTGACCTCGGCACTAGTTGGACGTGAGTGGTCAGTTTTACGTCCTGGGCGCTTTACCGCCACTGAAAGTCTCTGGCACACACTGGATAGGAGGTTTGGTGGACCCTACAGCCTGTCTGGAGGAATCGAAGATGAGAACATTTTTGCCCCTCGGCCATCGAGCCCGTAGCCAGTCGCTATACCAACTGCGCACGTGGAGTTCAAGAGGACCTGCCCCACTTCTTCTAAATAGGTCAACAGAAATTCTACATTCGCAGTGAAACCACCGTTATGTTGTATGAAGGCGGACGTCTCACTAATTCCGACTGATCCTTCCTCCAATTGGTCCGAATTACTGAAACTGTATAATGTATATCTTTGTAGCTTACTTTCCTAAAGTAGGCTTATGCTGTGTGTGTGTCTGTGCACCCCCCNCACCCACATTACCTTTCGAATGCCTAAAGCAGTCTTTATGAAACTTGGCATGTATATCATGACACCTGAGTCTATCTCAACAGCGTACTTCATAAATCCCTCCCCATCATTCCGTTTCTCTGTTTGTGTATCCCTCCTTTCGGAGTTCCCGCGACAACGAATACACGCAACAATAAATTAATTGTAGGAAGTGTCATTTTCTATGCCGTCCGTGTCTTATCAAAGGATAGCCTGTGGGTCTGTCTGTGTATTCCTCTATCGTTGTTAGGTAAGAACTCGGTAAAGACTTTACAGCGGCAACGAAAAATTGTTGCAAGGCGTCGTTTTCTATGCGGTCCGTGTCATATAAAGGGAATGTATATGATTAGTTCTTACCAGAATTTTTCATTTGATTTTCTTTTCTAAACTTTTCTAAAATTCTTCTGAGGGAACATTTACTGAGGATATGTTTGGGTTCAGCTGCATTAAGATTGCATCCGTTTGTTGGTACAACGATACTACTACTACTACTACTACTACTACTACTACTACTACCACTACCACCACCACAACTACTACTAGTCCTCCTTTACCTTGGTTCCTGTGCAGGCTGCTACAACCTCCTGGATTGTCCACGGTGTCACCATGACAATGAAGCCCAGGGACATGGCCGCCATCGTCCTCGAGGAATTCGTGCTGAGTCGCCTCTCCTGGGCTACCACCTGCAGGCAGAAAGTCGTGCTGTTCACAGTGAAGACGTTCACAGCCTCAAATTTTAACGAAACATATGTTCTCATAGATATAAAAAAATTTTTTTCTGACGAAACCTACATAATAAAAGGAGTTTTTGTGACACGTCTGTAGGATAGGTGATCACATAGCTGATCGGTGAATACTGGTATTAAAATGTAGTTCTTGATTAAGAAAAAGTAAAGCTGGCCCTGTAACAGGCCGTGAAGGCCCATAAGGTTGTAAGACCTTGAGGGTCCCACATTATCTAGACAAACGGCTCACAGATGGCGGTAAGGTTGTCAGCCTTATGCGACGGCCGCGTTTTACCCCTAAGAATATTCCTGGTACTCATTTCTGTTAGAGGCTGAGTCGAACCCAGGGCCATAGTGCGGCTGAAAGGATTAGGTCAATTGAAAAAAATCCAATGAACTCATAGGGAATTGAATCCGCGACCTTCCGGCTTGTAGCATAGTGCCTCAACCAACTACGCTGTATCATGTCCCCGCTCTGAAAACCGGT